GGGTAAGGTAACAAGTTTACACTCAAACATTGCAAACTTTTCAAGTATTTCCTTCACATATGTGCCTTGTTTCAACAATAACATGCAATTATTCCTATCTCTTTCTATTTCCATTCCAAGAATCCTTTTTGCTTGTCTTAAGTCTTTCATTTCAAATTCTAATTTTAATTTTGATTTAATGAAATTGATTTCAAATCTATCATGGCAGGCAAGCAACATGTCATCAACATATAATAACAGATAAATGGATTCAGGTCCACCTGAACCTTTATAGAAAAAACAGGAATCATAATTGCTTTTGACAAAACCCAAAGTCTGCACATAGGAGTTAAATTTTATATACCATTGCCTGGGAGCCTGTTTTAGTCCATATAGGGACTTCTTCAACAAACAAACCTTGTTGATCTTTGACTTTACTTCAAATCCCGGAGGTTGGTTCATGTATATGGTTTCATTTAGATCTCCATTAAGGAATGCAGTTTTAACATCCAGTCGATCTAATTCCCAATCAAAATGAGCAGTTAGTGCCAACACTATTCTTGTAGAGGTATATTTTGCCACGGGGGAAAAAATTTCATTGTAATCTACCCCCTCCTTTTGAGTATAACCCTTGGCCACTAATCTGGCCATGTATCTTTTATCTTGTGAGTTAGAGTCTCCTTGTTTAATTTTAAAGATCCACTTGCAGTCAATTATCTTTTGGTTCTTAGGTCTTTCAACCAATAACCAAGTTTTATTTTTGATGAGGGAGTTCAGTTCTTCATTCATTGCCTCTTTCCAGAACTTAGAATCTGAACATTTATTTGCTTCATCAAATGAAGAAGGTTCAGAATTTAATAAGTCCAGACCAGAGAAGAAAGTAACAAATTCTTCATTATTAAATTTGATTGGAGGTCTTATGTTTCTCCTTTCTCTATCCCTAGTTAATTGATAATCTGCAAGTGTGGGATCTAAAGACTCCACCTCAGTTTCAGTGTCATTTTGATCAAGGTTTTCCTCAGACTGAGAGGTCTCCACCTTAGTTGGACCATTTGGATTTTCAGATTCATCAGTTTTGTTTTCCAAGATGGTTTCTTTTATTTGTGCAGATTCTGAAGTTTTAAGATCGGTTGATTTCACACAAGGCATGTCATTTTCATTGAAAATGACATTTCTACTGATTATAACTTTAAAACCATTTTGCTCTCTAACCTATAGTTTGTACCCTTTTGTTTCCTCTCCATAACCTAGAAAAACACACTTTAAGGACATGGGTTCTAGTTTTCCTTCACTCTGATGCGAGTAAGCAGTGCAGCCAAAAATTTTCAGTTTACTATAATCAGGAATTTTTCCTGACCATATCTTTTCAGGGACTTAAAAATCAATGGCACTTGATGGACTTCTATTTATTAGATAAGTTGCTGTTTTTAGGGCCTCTCCCCAAAAATACTTATGAAGACTAGAATTGTACAACATGCATCTCACCTTTTCCAATAGGTATCTATTCATTCTCTCAGCAACACCATTTTGCTGAGGAGTGTATGTTACAGTTCTATGTCTTAAGATTCCATTATCTTTACAAAACAGGTCAAATTCAGAGTTGCAAAACTCAAGACCATTGTCAGTCCTTAAAGCCTTGATTTTCTTATTTGTTTGATTTTCAATCATTAATTTCCAATGTTTAAAGGTTTGAAAGGTATCAGATTTTTGTTTTAGTAGAAAAGTCCAAATCTTTCTTGAAAAATCATCTACTATTAGAAGGCAAAATCTAAAACCACTCAGAGTATTTACAGATGCTGGTCCCCAAAGATCAGCATGTAAGTATTCTAGTATGGAAGTAGATTTATGAATACCAATTTTGAAAGGTAGTTTCTTTTGTTTCCCAAATACACAGTTTTCACAAAAGTCCAAACCCTTAACATTGTCTTTACCAAAACATCCAAGTTTATTTAAAATTATCAGTCCCTTTTTTGAGATGTGGCCAAGTCTTTTATGCCAAATTAAAGACTTATTTGATTCAGAATTTAAGGCTGTAGAACAGTGATCTGTCACAGATTTAGCACATATAGTATATATGTCATTTACCTTTTGAGAGGATATTACAGTTTTACTTCTTTGCATAAGAGTTAGAAGCCATCTGTGAATCATAATACTGTATTTTTCATCAAACTCACCGAAGGAAATAAGATTTCTTTTTAACTCAAGGACATATCTAGTATTCTCAAGTTCTAGGGTACAGTTGTTATTGAGTGAAAGTTTGACCTTCCCAATTCCCTTGATTCGACAACTCATGTCATTTCCCATTTGAATTTGTCCTTTATTTAGGGCAACAAATTCAGAAAAACATTCTTTTATGGGGCACATGTGAAAGGTGCAACCAGAGTCAAGGACCCATTCGTTTAGGTCTCTTCTGGTGGTTGTTACTAAAACAACCCCTTGAATATCAGATTTATCTCTGCAGGCAACAGCTGCAGATCCCTCAGTGTTAGACTTATCTTTCATATCTGAGATTTTCTTGAAGCAATCTTTTATTACATCGCCAGTTTTACCACAGTAATAACATTTCCTGATCTGGTTTTTAGTCTTCCATTGATTCTTATTCTTTTCTTTAAATCTGGAAAATTGAGGTTTCCCTTTCTTATTTGAGTTTTGATTGAAGGGTTGTTGTTTCTTATTTTGATTATGTCTCTCGTTCATGAATAACCCCTCACCATATCTAGAGTCTTTAGACTCAGATTTTATTTCAAGTTCTCTGTTTCTCAGGGCTGAGGTTATTCTGTCAATAGTAAGTTCCTGCCCCCCATATTCTAATGCATTTCTAATGTCTCTGTATTTATCACTTAGTGAATTTAACAATGCCACAGCTTGTTGGTCATTAGAAATTTCTTCTTCACAGTTTGTTAAGTCCTGAATCAGTTTTGTAAATCTATCAAGATTTTCTTCCAGATTTGAGGTTGGGTCAAATCTAAAATTGTAAAATTGCCTTAGAAGGTAGCATTTATTAGGCATGGTTCTAGTTAGATATAATGTTCCAAACTTAGTCCAGAGAGCCTGAGCAGATGTAGTTTCTCCAACTTTCCTAATTACACTATCAGACAGGTGCAAGAAAATTGTGCTCCATGCAGTGTCATCTAATTCCTATCTCCTATAGGCACTAGTTTCTACAAGCCAATTTCCATCAATGGCTGCAGCACATCTCTACTGCAGCAATGGTGCTCTCAATTTTTGGCGCCAGAGACTGAAGTCTCCAGTACCATTCCATCTCTCAACTTCAAATTTTTGAGACGTGGACATGATGACAGATTATGTACACAAACAAAATTTATACAGCACACAGAGTATAATGATTCAGATATCTTATTGAATTAACAAAAATGAGTGAATGAATAAGGCAGAAATTATAATTGTATCTACTTATCATGCAATAAACAGTTCAATTCAGAGAGACAAAAGAAAGAATCTAAGAGTGGTTTAAGGAGTGAAAATCCTTACAACCCACTACTTTCTCAGATTCCCAGATCCTCGTAGGGGATCTTGGACAAAGGTAAGCAGAAGAGGATTAATTACCTTAATGGCCAACACTAAACAGATTTCAAATACAATTTAATAGAAGGGGGTTTTTCAGAAAATACCAGAGTCTGAGAAACACAATGTTTCAGAATAAAAAGAACAAAGAGTAAGTGACAGAACCGGAACAAGGAGAACAATGCAGGTTCAAGAAGCCAATGAGTCACCAGAACTCAGTGTGAACTCAGTAGTGAGTCAGGAACTCACCATAACCCGGACCAAGTCAACTCAACTTGCTACAACTCAGTACAGAAACAGTAGATCAATCAGGGTTAGAACTGAGTTATAATGAGTTAATAACGAGTTAAATTAAGTCTTAAGAAAATTAAAAGATTCAGCTTTCAAGAACAGCATAAAAACCGATTTTCAGAAAATCAGATCTGTGACCCCAAGAAACATTTTAAAGAAAATATTGTTCGAAAAAAAATTTCTTTTCAAAAAAGTTAGTGGCTTTGATACCACTTGTTACGTCAAAATACCCTAAGTGTTTGTTGGATCGTGAGCTATTCAAAAACAGAAATAAAGTTTAAGAAAAGAAATTGAAACACAACGATATGTTTTTGCCCTCAAAAGAGAGCCCGGATGTTCAGCTTTCGCCTAATCACCCGTTGAGAATCCCCAAGGAAAATATAGCTCAAGATTTCACTAAGAAAAGCACCAAAAATTAGTACAGATGTACGAAGGAACCAACTTCCTTCGATATTCCTTTCGCCTCTTTTAAAACCTAACTACAAGACTCTCAATCACTCACAGATCGTACACAACAATCTAAAATATCACAAAGTATACAGATTGAGAAGATCACGAAGAACATTTTCAGTATTCAAAGTAAAACCGAAACCCTAGTCTCTCACTCAGAGAAAATGGAAGAGGCGAAAGGACTGAATGAATCGAAGCATCCAGAATGAGAGCCAAAACATGATAAATATCTGATCAGTCAACTACCACATCCAAGGGTTGGGATGATGCCACGTTGACGGCAGATCCCCTCCCATAAGAGGCATAAAATCGCATTTCACAAAGGCACGTTTTTATCAACCCGAAAATGAGAATGGTCCAAGTCCATTGAGTGGATTTTCTTTGTTTTGGGCCATCAAGTAATAGTGAAGCAGCCCATTATTACTAACAACCTCCACCTTGCTGAACTATTTCTTGACTTTAATTAGTGAATCTCGAGTTTCATCTCACATTTTGGTTCATTTGCTCTCAGTACCTACAAAAAACAAAAAAAAATTAGTTCAAAAATTTCAACATAAACACTTGAAGTTTTCAATGTTACACTTTCATGTAATATTCAAAATCTTCAAGCAATTTTTAAATTTATTCAGGGGTAACACTTTGGTTCCTAAATCTGATGAGTTGAATTCTATAGGAACTTTAACCAATTCAATCAAACCCTTTTCTACCATATTTCTCAAAAAGTGGAATTTTATATCTATATGTTTAGTCCTATCATGGTATATAGGATTTTTGCTCAGGTGTATGGCACTTTGGTTATCAGTATAAATCTTAACAGTATTATTTCCAAAACCCATTTCATTTAATAAACCCCTAAGCCAAAGACTTTCTTTTACTGCATCACATGCAGCAATATATTCAGCTTCTGTAGAAGAAAGTGCAACTAATTTTTCAATTATAAATTATTATAGAAATGAGTCAAATATATACGCTTATAAATTCTATTTAAATGTTCCTTTTCTCCCGAGCTAGCTTGTCTAATCAATTACATTTTTTTTTATAAATTCTATTTAAATGTTCCTTTTCTCCCGAGCTAGCTTGTCTAATCAATTACATTTTTTTTTATAAATTCTATTTAAATGTTCCTTTTCTCCCGAGCTAGCTTGTCTAATCAATTACATTTTTTTTTATAAATTCTATTTAAATGTTCCTCTCTGAATAGCATATAAATAATCTATTGAGAGTCCATTTTATAGGTGTCTACTTCTGCTTATTAGGAAGCTACATTGATCGGTTACCTATTTACATTGATCAGTTGTCTTCAAAAGCTCTTCCGTCAGACACAATATTTCTTAAACATTATCCAAATCGGCATGGGTAAAATATCGAAAAACTCAAGTAGCTTTACATAAAATGTAGTCAAAATTGGATTAAGGCCGCGGGTTGTGTAACCAATCCAATAAGACTTGATCTCATCTAACCCCTTAATTTTTTATTTAATCATTTAAACATAAACAAAAAATCAAAATTTGGTTGTGTTAGTTTCAATTTTAGGTTGGACACAATATCGATCCAATATGATCTACGGCCACTCCAATTCTAAGAATCATTTCTTAGTACAAACTATACAATAATGATATATACATCATTTTAACAAATTCAATTTCATTTATGAAATCCATTCTAAATTTATCTACCCACTAATGACACGTTACATTACTTTTATTTTAGCATAAGCTAGTTATCGAAAGCAAATTTTTAATATTTTTCGAATGAGAAATATTACATGTACAGCCAAATTTACCACTTGAACGACAAAATGAAAAGATGGTAGGCCTATGAAATCTTGCCCTTTGTTAACTCTACGACTTTGTCATCCACCAAAGGATGTACAAATAGCATATCTCTTTAAATAATGAGAAGTGTTATATATATACAATGGTGTATACAAAGTCTTACACACCTCACATGAAGGAGGCTCACATATAATAAAATATTCGTGAGCCCTTTTCCATAAAAGGATAGTGTAATCTATTATGTACATATACATAGAATAATCCTTAAATAATACTTCCAAGGATGGCTAAAGCCTATTGTCGTCGGCCACATAGGCCTGGGATTTCCAGGGTGGACACATGTGGCCCCCCTGGCTAGCAGAAGTCTCCAAGTATGGTCCAAGTCATTGTTTCAAGTTTTCGTAGTGCAGCTTTAAAAAAGAAAAAAGAAAAATAAAAATCCTTCTCA